TATACGAAAAAACATACTTAGATAATACAAACACTTAACATGATGCATGCATAGTTAAACATACTTTGTTCAAAACAATATGACAACTCGAAAGTCTTCAATTTGCAGATATTTAAGTAAATTAAACTGTCGATAAGATTTGACTTGTAAATTCAGAAAACTTAGCGAAAACAACATTAAGTCTTCAGCGAAACGTTTATGGAAATATAAAACAGTTTGAGCTTGAGAAAGGAACCACAAGGAGCTTGCGAACATTGATAAAAAACAAGCAATTTCTGAAAATTTGGACATCTATATTTTAACCCACAAACTTAATATAGACAAATATAAGCACATAGAAATGTGAGGTAAAGTTTTACAATACCATAATTGATTTTAAATATTTAAATTGTTCACCAATCTGCGAAACCTTAAATTTAAACGCAAGCTACCATTGCAATCTTTAGTGGTTTAATTGAAACATTCGAATTTTGCAATAAAAAATACTAAAGTACTTCAATCTCTACTTTCGCTCTTATGATTTACCGAAGCATTATACAAAAAATGTTGTTTTGGAAGATTGGAAGTGTCATTCACCAGTCGATTCCTTTTTCATTAGTATGAGGCACCATACATGAAGCATCATTATGCCTAGTATGTTTAAAAGGAATCGATCAACCGATATATTTGTTACGATGTGTAGTAGCACAGGCAAAGCGTAACTATTTCTTCAAATTTACGCAATTTAATTTGTGTTAATTAGGAGTGAAGTTGAGTAATGAGCAAGGAGCGGCGGTACTTCTAACATTCCGCTTGACTTCTTAAATCAGAAACGGCGTGATGCTGATATCTTCGTTTTATTGCAAACTTACAAAGCAAAACCAAATTATGGTACGCTTTGGCAGTTCATTTTTCTCTTTCCATTAATACGTTACTTAAAACTTAAATAACATAGTGTTTTTATTACGAAAAACAATAGAAAATATCCATTACAGATAACAAGACTAACTAGAAGGAAATGAAATCTATCAGTATCCCTGTTAAGTATATTATAAAATAAATGAAATAATACCTAAACCCCCTGCAAAACTATCGGATCGATTTTGATCAACTTTTCTGATAACGATTGCCATATTTAACCAACCTTCCCAATCACAATCTAATCTTCAGTTAAGAGTCGTAGATCTTTAGATCTTCATAGATCTCATTTTTTGATTAGTTACGAAATTTTTATTATTATGTCGTAGATTTTGACAATGTTAAATGGGACAAGATGTTAAATATACTTAAAAATGTAGGGATGAGTTACAAAAATAGAAGAGTGATACTTAGTTTGTATAAAGAGCAACATGCACTTATAGAGTTGGGGCTGCAACGTAGAGAAGTAGATATTAGGAAGGGAGTCAGACAGGGATGCACACTGTCACCGCTACCTTTGAATCTATACATTGACGACGCGATCAACATCATTAAAGACAGTACAACTGTAAGGATAGATATACAGGGGCAAACGATTAGTATACTTAGATTTGCAGATGATGTAGCAGTATTAGCATCAAGCAAGAAAGAGTTAGAGATAGCAAAGTACGGAAAGAGCGAATATAAAGATAGAAGACGAAAAATTAGAAGGTGACTGATTTTAGGTATCTAGGAAGTCAGATAAGTCAGGACGGAAGGAGTCGTACGGATATAAAGCAGATGATAGCGCAGGGTCGAGTCGCCTTCAATAAAAAGAAATGTTACCGGCGAATGATGACGATACCGTCGATAGAGAGGGTTACAATTGAAGAGGTATTAGAAAGAATATGAGAACAGAGAAATCTATAGAAGTCAATAAGTAATAGGCAAGATAGATTGGTAAGACACCTTCTCAGACATGAAGGTCCAGTCAGAGACATATTAGAGGCAGAAACGGGAGTTAGAAGGAGTTGAGGTAGACCTAGATTAGATTACTGTTCGCAAATAGTTAAAGATGTGGGATGTTCTAGTTTTAGAGAAATGCGAAGATTAGCTTAGGATAGAAAAGAGTGGAGGTGCGTGTCCAACTAGTCTTAGGACTGACGACCTTATCATGATGATGTCGTACATCTTTGTTCTTTACTATTGTAAAAAGTAAACGAAGAATACCAAAATATCTGACATAAGTGCTATCTAATTTATGAACTTTCTAAGTAAGTCTTTAATTTAAAACCTACCAAATTCCTTTCAACTAAATGTGAAGACGTAGAATATACGTGACTAAGAATTAATGCCCTTTTAAAAAGACCTGTATATAGAAATCACAGAAAACTAAAATAACTGGTGTTCAGGCAATACCCATGTTCCTTTCAATTTCTCTCGATTACAAAATTGCTATTTTACGAACCCCATAAAATCCAAAAGCCATTAAAATGGTCGTTAATAAGGTGTAGGTATGTACCTAAAAATTCCATTATCTCCCATGGTCTACACGGACCAAACCGAGATACTAAAAGTACTTACGGTAAAAACAACACATAAAACCGTTCTTATAAATCGAGATAACATTAATGCGCGTGTAGTAATAGTTTTCGGCTACCGATGATGGGAACAAAATGTCAAGAAACTGTAAAGTGACCAAATGAAAGCCGACGTTACTTTTTGTTTCTTTACGATGGACCGTCAGGGAATTCGAATCGCGAAATATTCGACAGGTAGCGGCGAACACGTGTAAAAAGCGATATCCTTTGAAGGACCCGCTCGTTAGATTTATATGTACCTATAGAGAAGTATCGGAGGAGAGCGATAAGTTGCCGAAGCGTTCAACCTAGTTTTCTTACGACGACAATCTAGCCATCTATCTATCTGATGATACGATTGTATAAGATTCCGGGTATCACCAGGCATCGATGCCGTTCTAATATACATACGTACAACCTGGTAGCGGTTAATCTATATCTATACGGATCTCTCCAATTCCTAAAAAAGTCAACGTTCTTAGAGCCAAACACATGAGAAAGTCTCAACTCGTCTCCCATCCTCTTCGATCACATCCAAAATCTAAATGACTTCAAAAGGAAAAGACGATTGAATAAATGCAAGAACTACAGGAAATTTCACCACTCCTGGAAGCTTAAATGCTTTATTGAAGCTTAATATCTAATAATGGAACAAATTTGCTAGCAAATCATCATGGATTCAGCAGAATAAACAAAATATCGGATTGTTCGGAAAGTCATTTCGTTTTTTCCCGACAGAGGATTTAATTGGATTCTTTTGCACCCAACTAAACATTTAAGCCGTATAATTTTTATATGCTTTGAGAGCTCATATAGCAAGGCTTGTGTGTGAAAAATTCCAATTAATTCTACGCAGTAGTTTTTGGTTGGTGCCCTTTTAATGATGGAGAGCGATAAGCAGCATTTTCGACATATCTTACTGTTTTACTACAGAAAGGGTAAAAATGCTGTTCAAGCCAGAAAGAAATTGACTGATGTGTATGGAGAAGGTGTGTTGACAGTACGCCAGTGCCAGAACTGGTTCGCTAAATTTCGATCCGGCAATTTTGATGTCGAAGATGCACCACGTTCGGGAAGGCCGGTTGAAGCTGATAAAGACGCGATAAAGGCATTAGTTGATGTGAACCGGCGAATAACAACACGTGAGATCGGATTGAGGTTAAATTTATCAAATTCAACAGTTTATGACCACTTGAAAGGCCTGGGATTATCCTCGAAGCTCGATGTATGGGTTCCCCATGTTCTCACAGAGAGAAATCTGTGTCGCCGCATTGACGTCTGCGATTCGCTTCTCAAACGTCACGAAAATGATCCGTTTTTGAAGCGCATCATCACTGGGGACGAAAAATGGGTTGTATACAACAACGTCAAACGCAAGAGGTCATGGAGCAAAAAAGATGAACCGGCTCAAACCATTTCCAAAGCCGATATTCACCAAAAAAAGGTGATGCTGTCTGTTTGGTGGGATTTTAAAGGAATCGTTTTTTTTGAGCTTTTACCGGATAACACAACGATTAATTCGGAAGTCTACTGTCATCAGCTGGACAAACTGAATGATGCACTTCAACAGAAAAGGTCAGAACTAATCAACAGGAAAGGTGTAGTGTTTCACCAAGACAACGCGAGACCTCACACAAGTTTGGTCACTCGCCAAAAGCTTTTACAGCTTGAATGGGATACAATGCTACACCCACCATATTCTCCAGACCTGGCACCATCGGATTATTATTTGTTCCGGTCACTCCAAAATTTTTTAGACGGTAAAACCTTCACCTCAAATGAGGAGGTCAAAAACCTCCTCGATCAGTTTTTTGCCAGCAAAGACCAAAAATTTTATGAGCGTGGAATTATGCTACTACCAGAAAGATGGCAAAAGGTGTTGGACCAGAACGGTCATATAATTTAATAAAGTATTTGTTTATTATACGAAAACTGTCTTTCATTTCCACATAAAAAAACGAAATGACTTTCCGAACAACCCTATAGCTCAAACCCCAACGTCAAAACACGACACTTTAGTTGTCCGAAGCACTTTTCGGTAACAAGGTTAGAAACTTAGTTCTCTTCAGTCTCTGAAGTAGGTCGTGTCGTGTTTTAGCAGTGGGATTTGATATATTTTGTTTGTTCTACAACAACCGCCAAAGTTTTTCCAATCTTAATATTATGGATTCAGCAGTTTTCTTTCTTACTATAATTCCTGAGGAATTCAAACTCATAAGTTCTATCTGGTCCAATCCTTCATCCAAATATACAAACTATGAAGAAACATACAATTGAATCATTTATCACCACTGATGTTATCAGCATACATGAAATTTGGTCATGTTTACAGTTCACCTTTGAAGAAAAGTTTGAAAACTCTGCCTCTAACAGTAACCTCAATCATTACAGGTTCTGGACTAACCAACTGTCCTGTAACTGGGTGTAAGTACATTTTCTAAATTCCTACCAAATCACTGAATTCTCTTCCTTCATCTCCACTCAGAAAATGTCTTCTACGCGTCACATTTTTGACTCATCGATACTTTTGTTCTCTTTTTGCAGATATTCCCCCAATGTCGCAACGAAATTTCCCCCCTTCTTTCTGGAACAGTCAGCACTATCAAGGTGCGTCTGGATCGCACCATTCGGATCTATACTCGGATCACTACCACCCAAGCGAGGCATGGTACCAGTACAGTACGCACCACCGAGCAGTTCACGACTACCACCACCACAACATGGCTCAATACAGTAGCTTACTTTTACCCGGTTCGAGGCTCCACATGGGATCGCATGCACAATGTAAAGCGATGGAATGGCAGCATCCATCACTCGACACACCGTACTCTTCTTATCCTACAATGTCAGGTAAATAATCCAACTTTTGGCTAACGAAAACGTTAGATTTTAAAGGATTTATTTGGAATAAGGGTTAGTTGCATTTCCTACAATAATCACTGGACTATTTCGGGTGTCAAAATGATACTCATGGATCAGAATTTTTAGAATGATTCCAATTCCATGGTCCCATTCCATTAAGAACACTCGAAAACTCTTGGAATTTTAGTCCTTTAGAAACCTACATATGTCTATATATTCATCCTTCATCTGTTTCAAAAAAACTGGAAATTTTTAAGTAAATTTCACTCCCATTAGAAACATTTTTTTCCTGCATCTTATAATTTGAAAGACAATAAAAAATTCATTTATGAGAAATCAGGATCTTAAATTCCAATGTAAGGATTTGAACAAAATTTGACATGTACGTTCATATTTTCCCGATTTCCCGAACTATATTGTTCATTTTTTGAAGATGTACGAACCCATGTAATTCTTATTTCCAAAATAATGTTACTATAAGTTTTTCAAACGCTATGATCCTCAACGACTTGAAGAGAATCCTTCGGTTTTGAATGACATAAAGCATATATCCATATTTGTCCTATTGATTCCCCATAGGATTGTCTTTCTGAAAACTTATGTATCTACTTTGAAAACTGCAGAATATCTACGTTTTTAAATCGATAAGAAAAGTGTGATTTTGTCCATCCCAATTTTTCGCAGTTTTTGTGACTTGTAAACTGACGAGGAGTTAAAGATAACCTTAAATAAAATGGAAGCGGTATTGACAAAACGGCATTGTATGAAAATAAATAAAAGTAAAACAAAAATACTGGTATGCAAAGGAAGAAACAGTAGAGAAAGAGAGAATATATGGTAAAGATAGGAGACGAAAAATTAGAAGAACTAGTTGATTTTCGGTATCTAGGAAGTCAGATATGAAACAGAGAATAGCGGAAGGTCGAGTCGCTATCGACAAAAAGAAATTCAATTCTATGCTCGCGAGTCGTTAATTTAGAAATTCGAAAAAGATTGTTAAATGTGAAGGTCTGGAACGCGGCGCCATATGGGTACGAAACATAGACGATGGGCGCGGCGGAAAAGAAAAGATTGGAAGCGTTTGGAATGTGGTGTTAGAGGAGAATAATGAGGATACAGTGGATAGACAACGATAAAAATGAAGAGATGTTAGAAAAACCAGGATAACAGAGGAGTCTGTTAAAGTCAATAAAAAATGTGCGAAATATGTTGATAGGATACCTTCTCAGGTATGAAGGGCTAGTCAGAGACATATTAGAAGCAAGACCAAGAGTTAAGACGAGTAGAGGTAGACTTAGATTAGATTACTGTTCGCAAACAGTTTGGGATCTGGGATGTTCTAGTTTTAGAAAAATGCGAAGGTTAGCTCTGGATATGAACCAGTGGAGTTGCGTGTCTAACCAGTCTTAAGATTGACGACCTTATGATGATGAACCCGACGACCAATGAAAATTACACTGCTCAGAATGTACTGGAAGGTCTTAAGTTCAGTTTCGCATTCCTTTAGCAGTTCTTCCTAATTTTCTTTTTCTAGTAATGTAAACGAAGAAGAACCTACCAAAACTTCAGCCGTGAGAGTTTTTCAGAAGCTAATAATGAAAGAATTGTGTTCATTTTGCTTCTTTCTGCACTATTCGACTAATCAAATTACAATTTTCCCATTATGATCGACTAAATTTCCGACCGTGTCCATTAACGTGCTTCAGTCTCCTTGGATTCCGGAATTCCAGTGACCGCGCGTCGCCTGTGAAACACTTACGGTTTCAGAAGTGGAATTTCTAATTCCGGGCAATAACCATTCAGCGGACGTTACGGTACCGTAGGTGCGGTCAATTTAATATGGACACTCGGTGTACAGGTGTATAATTTTCTTTCTCTAAACATACACATTGCACATGTCGAACGCTGCGCGACTACAAGGACTTGTAGTGAATCAATAATCAGCCTGACCAGGAGCGTTTCTCCGGCCAATCCAGAGCCGTTCCGGCCAATCCAGAGTGCATAGCTCGCTGACCGGCCCCCTTTTCACTGCAAACGAATCTTTCCTCCCTGCTGCTGCCGTTCATTCCTCTCCCTTTCCCCGTACCCCTCATCACCCGCCTGTCCTCTCACGACTTCCCCTTTGTCCTCGCGGCATTCCGCCGACGCCTCTAATTGCCATTCCTACAATACTGCCGGTAATAACTCAGCCATTACGTTGGCTATAGCATGAAATACGAAAAAAGTCACCGCAGTCGCCGCCACTGTCAGATGACCACGGCAGACTTCTACGAATTTGTTTTCGTTCCATTTACGTGAACATACTTAGGTTTGATCCCTGAAGATTTAGATATAACTACCCCCGGAATCGGTAGGTGCTATTACAAACCGAAATTTTACCAAAAACTAAAGCTTTTATCTGAAAACTTGCGAAATATCGTCAAGGAAATGTCCCTATCCCAACTTTACAAACCCGCAGAGCCACGATAACAACGTGAGAGGATATAAAACGGAAGTTCACCTTTTCCGTTTGTACGATAAAGGACTCTTAAACCCGATTCCAGAAGAAGAATGAGGATGAATATATAGAGTCCTTTAATTCAATGGTATAGCATTTGGAAGTTGTCCAAATCATCCACTTTTCCACAATTGTCTCCTTATTCAATCTACAAATTTATAAATCCATCAAGCGCCTGCATCAAGTATTAGACAGTAAATAGACTAAAATCACATTGTTCATTTAAAACCGATGATTCCACAAATGTAAAGCTAAAGTGACCAAGGTGGCCAACTATACTCATTTACTGAATTTTGTACTCTTTTTTCGCAAACCGTACTCTTTTCAAATCCTGTACTCTGAAAGTACTCATTTATATAATTTTATACTCATTTGTATTAGTATAATATATTGTTATTAATGACAATTTTCTCTTTGAAGAAATTCGAAGAGTAAATTTATATTTAAATGAAGAAATGGAACGATGAGAAAATAGGACTTGACAAAAGATGGGTAGAAATCTTTCGGAATTTTAGAGTAGAACATACCCCACATGAAAATTTAAAAGTTTTAATAGAAATTTCCTTATGTTGCCCAGGCACTAATGCTGCTGTTATTATCACTAGGGAATGATTATTGGAACAGTGAAAAGTCGCAAATTTCTGTAAAAACATTATCTGCCGTCTTAACAGTCAAATTTAATATGCAAAATGAAAGTTGTTCGGATGTGGCTACGTTATTAGACGAACATTCTCATTTAGCAAAAAAATCCACTCCGAAGAAAAATATGTTTTTAAAAGAAAATAATGTTTTTATCGTTTTTTCTTCTTTTTTTTTCACCTATGAAATACATGCAAAGTGCACTCTTTTTGAACAAAAAATAGTTGGTCACCTTAATAAAGCAAACCATTATGAAATGCGTAGTCACAGCAAGAAATGGATCTTTAGGATTACCATCTTCCTCCAAAAAAAAATTAAACAGTTTCGCTAGATATTATAACAAACTCTTGTACCTGTTTGAAATAAGTCAGATAAAGACTAATTAAAAAATTCTGTACTAAAATAATTAATTGACATATTACGAATCCTTCAAAATTGAAACGGAAGAGTTTAATTGATAATTTTCAAACTTGAAAGTTGAACAAATGACCCTTTAGTCATAGGATCAATGAAAATTATGAGTTTTATTCAGAGAAAGTTTTAAATGTTTTGAGTAAATGAAATAAATTAAGCCTAAAAAGCTGTAACAATAATAATATACCGATTACAACCTTTTTAAAGCCAAATATAGATTTATTTTTATTGTATTTCATATCATTCTTAAAGTTCTATCGTTTCTAAATATAAGTAATACCAATAAAAATTTTTCATGTAAAAAATAAAATTCTTACATTAATTTTTAGAAAATTTTTTGAAACTTTCTGCGTTTTTTTACTGTGTTAATTATCATTGACTTTTAAATTCGTGATGAATTTATACGTAGTTGGAAATTACGATTGCACCTTTAGCAATTGCAATTATGTATATTTTCGCCAAAACGCTGCTGGTACATTAGCCGCCATCATATTGAAATCAAATATACTGTTGGGCATCAAAGGTAGAAGTAAATTAATACCGACATGTAACATAATTAACGTATAAGTAAGTGCCTATATACTTAATTACCGCTATTTCTTGTCATTTGTTCTGATTATAAAACGGCATGTGAAAATATATGCAAGGATCGCGGAAAATGCACTACAACACTTACGATTATACGTAAACAATAACAAAATACAAAAAATACTTTTACACATTTGTTGAATTAATTAATTAATTTCTATCTGCATTTGCACAGTTTTTAAACCGATTATATATAGGTATTTGAAAGGAGGTATCTTGTTTTCCACCCTACTAGAAAAAGTTAAAAAAATTCATCACAATTTTCTTATAAATTGACACCGAAATATTAGGGTTTGATTCAACCCTCAACACAACCATCATTATCGAGTATTGAGATGTGATTTATTTGAAATACTTGCATTTAAAATGCAAATGCAAAATAAAAAATACTTATTTTTATCTTGCATTTAAATACTTTTTTGAAACAAACATTTTGTATTTTATTTAAAAGCCCGCAAAACAATATCGAATAGATATACGCCAGTTGTGTAAAATTGAAAACTAAAAGATATTGTGGTGTGCTAATAAATGCATATACCCCAAAATTTTAAGAAAACGATTCGAAAAACTTCACTTATTAGATAAGCCCAAAGCTAAAGAAACCATGGATTCCATTTCTTTCTCTTATTACAATGTGTAAAAGATCGGAAACACAATTGGGTTGTAAATATTTTGATGTAAAATGATTGATGGCCATTTTACATTAATAAAATTATTTGCAACCCTATTTTGATTCTGATCTTTCACACTAAGCAAACTATTTTGGCATTAGTGTCTTTTTTCCAATTAAAACGTTGCAAGGAACATCTAGCTCATGCACGATTTGGTAGAGAAGAAAAATCTAGTGTTG